AAACTGTAATAGTTTTGGAATATCACCAGGCAACCAGCTAACGAAAACTTGCAATGTATCATGTGTGCTCCCACAGCCTATGTGGTTATGGAAACAATAATGATGACAGTCCAGTTTACAAAAGTACCTACCCTAATTAGAGATGTGCAAAATGTCACAGAGAGTAGAGTATATATTCACGCTTCCCTACATTGCAAACTGAACTATATTGTGTGATATTTATTTATTCATGATCCAACAGGTTGCCCCCAATAACAGGTTCATTAAAAATAAACTATGATTAAATTTAAATACATATACAATGTATACACACATATAATGATTTGGTGTTACCATGCTTCAACGAATAATTGATATGATAATCATTTCTACGGTACTATATTGTTATGAACCATTGGTCCAACAATTATGCAGACTATATATGCAATTAGCCACCATGATTGGCAAGGGTTATTGTCAGAAAAAGAAAAGTGCCTGTCTAAAATCGATATTGAAAGATAAGCCTGTAGCCACAGACTTGTAGTCTATTTTTCTTTATAGGTATTTTGTTAAAACTGGAAATTTTCAATCTTATATTGACAGGTTTGAAGAAATTTAGTCTGTCAAATCAAACGTTATGCCTGTCTAAATGATAGGTAGACAGGTGGCTGGATAAAAATATTGCTGTTTGCTGGGGAGAACACAGAAGGGCGTTGAAAAGATGATAATATATAAACACATAATTCTTTATAAAATTTCAAAATAATGATAAACCACAGAAAAATTGGTATGATTATAATTTTTAGAAAAAACTTTTGAAAAGGATGATTGCTGTTTGTTCTTTTGGTGTTTTTTCAATAAAATAAAATATTAATTGAGTGTATAAATGGCTAATGGTTGGCCGTCAAACCAGGTAACCAGACTCTCACCATTTATATACTTTTATATTTTATTTTATTTTATTATAACAAAAATTGAATCTATGAAGCATGTCGATATATAGAGCCAATAGATGCAAGCAAAAATATCTTACAGTTTTTAAATCATATTGATCAGATGTAAAAACTGTTCAGGAGGGAGAAGGAAGCGTTGATAAATGTTCAAATTCAAGTTGATTTTATAAATTCAAATATTTTAAAATACATATTAGACATAGATTTTATTATAATACATATATTACAATGTATTACAATATAATACATTATGCATTTCCACAGTAAATAAAATACTGGAACTTCTTTTTACTTGTTCATTTGACAACTTGACTGATATTATTTTGCATTTTAATCACAGTTGCGATGATTGGCTCTTTCATTTCTAGGATCAATGCTTTAATTACCTTTCCAGTAATTGTATGAATAGATTTGAGCCATCAGTGTATGTTATTGTTTTTATAAAGTACACATAAAAAAAGCGTTTTCAAAATACACCCTAAGGGCACACGTCTTCCAATAATGACAATTCCCCAACAGAAAAGCCACCCTTTGTTTAATATTCTCATATGTCAATAGCCAGGTTTAATCAATTCCCACCTATATTTTGTATACCATAAAGAAATATTGACCAAGATGACTGCTTTCAAAAAATCTAAGTAAATGAAATCAACCTTCCCACATTTGCGAGCAATAGAGCAGATACGTTCTGTGTAAAGCAATTAGAATTGTCACAGTAAAACCAGACCAGTAACAAAAATGATACCTCTCGCACACTATATGCGTTGTTACGTCAACAGGGTCGTTTTAATGTATGCTTTAACATAATTAAAACTGTAATTATGAATTAGTTTCTTGAAAATCTTTCTCAATTAATAAAGGGAAGATAGTGGGGTATGTAGTGTAAAATGATCATAACTCCTAACATCTCTCGTGAAATGAATATAGGTAATCATGATTGGAAGTGTGATATGCAATGAATTTATGATCAGGCTATTATTAATGCACAGTGATTGATTGATTCATTGAATCTAGATAATGTGTAAACAACTTGAATCGCTTATACATGTTTTATTTATTTCTAATTATGACCTGACGCCATCTATACCATACTTAATAACATGTCCAGTCTATATATAAATATATATATGTATATATATGTTGCATCATCGATAATTCATATCCGAAGGATTTTCTGTATTACATATTGATGAATTTTTCATGTCATCATAAGATGATGAATGAACTCTAGACAAATCCCAATGTAGAATCATTTTATGCGGTGTGACTGTAATTTACGATCGCCCTAATAAGGAGAGTCACCGTTGATGAATTTTTCAATATCAAGTTAAATTATTCATCAATTCATCATCTGATTTTATGTATTCTTATTCTTGTTGTCGTCGTTCTTGTCATCTTTGCAGCGGGGACTTGTTCATGAATATAAGCATGAATTTCTAGAAGCTAAAAAGTTTTATTCAGACGCGGTGTCTATTAATCCGGGGCATATCAAGAGCTTACAACATTTGGGAGTTATCTTGCATGACCTGGGAAACAGTGTGCTAGCAGAAAAAGTACTAAGAAATGCAGTAAATATGGATCCTACTTCACATCATGCATGGTAAATATTCGACCATATATTCATTAAGATTCTAGTACTGTATTACATTGATTATAACTATTTGTAAAAAAACCCTCAGGAATAGTTTTTCAGTCACATCAGTGAATTGCATCATGGGAAATGTACTATTGTCATTGTTATTATCAATGATAAGTGTAGAGAAATGCTGACAATAGGCCACTTTTATGACCCCTAAAGGTCACACATCCTGGTACTTTTGTTGGTATGACAACATCACAAACATACACAATTTGAGCATTTTACTCAGGTAGCTGAAACAAATTGTCTAGGGAATTGTGCTGAAATATCCCATTTTTATTTTTATACCAACAAACGTACCAGGATGAATGACCTTTAGAAGTTATAAAAAGTGACCTATTACCAGTACTGCAACTTTCTCACTTTCTGGTACCTTTTATTTTTCAGGAATTCTCTGGGTAAAGTCTTGGAATGCCAGGATGAATTTGACTCTGCAAGTCAGTGCTTGCTTACAGCCGTGGAGTTAGAATCGACCAGTCCAATTATCCCTTTTACTGCCATTCCGAGATTACTTTGAATATTAATCGATATTGTGGTGTCATGCATATTACTGTACAGAAGCAGCATGTACAGTTAATACTTTGTAAATGGATTTACAAACAAAAATTATCTTTTAAGATTAAATCATGTGCAATATTATTATATACCTGTGGCAAAATAAAGGTCACAGTAAAAAAAGGGGGAAAAAGGAATGAAAATAATTTTCTGTTCCATGTTATAACTTTTATAGTAATTTTACATAATCATTAGCAATACATATTTTAAACATTTGAAATGTTTAGTGAGTATTATTGTCTCCCTGAAATAATAATACCGTAGATTCAAAATATGAAATTCATACTTACTAAAGCCAATTATGCATGCATCATAAACAATTCCATAACAATGTACAAAATTGTGAATCTCATGCATTTAAAATTATTTTTTTAAATTCTAGTGCAATATTTACTAATGAATCTATTATAGATGGCTAGCTTAAGATTTTGATTTCCTCATCCCTTTTTAATCAGGAAGTGCTCCAAGTTGTACAGGAAGTAGAATACCATATTCAATATTCTGCCCAGCTGCCTGTTGAAAATATTGAACTACACTATGTAGTAAACAGATATCTCATGAGAAATGGTCTGGTTCATTATTTTTTGGGGCGTTGAAATGGCAGGTGAGAAATATGGTAAATCTAGTTTTGGGATTTTGTTGTTTGACAATGATTCATGTTCGGGCATTTTAGATTTGTATTTTTTATTTGAGTTATAAATGTAATCTTAGTGTAATTTTACAGCAAAGTAGAAGCTGTTTTCATCCATGTGGCAATTAGAAGATGAACTTAAAATGTTAAAGGCTTTTTTTTATTTTTTCTTAATAATATTTATGCACTAGATATGAAACTGGGAAAGGAGAACGATAAACTTAATAAATTCACATTTGACACTATACAATGTTTAAGAATTGTTACTTTAATTTTATTTGGCAATACACTTTTAAAAAAACAACAATAATACTATTTTATACACACACTGTGCTGCAGGTGGTAGATGAGAAATGTAAACCAAAATGGACGGTATCAAAACATTACTGGCAGTGAGCCGTTAAAGCAGAAACATCACGGTCGGTAAAACAAAACAAAAAAACAAATGATTATTGTTATTACACACAAAATCAATTGATCTGTAAATTAAGTTGTCTGCACGAAAATTACTTTTAATAATATCGCTAAAACCAAGAAATGCACCATACATCAGGCTTGTCTTACAGACTAACCCTGTAAAAAACACTAATACTGTGCGAATCTTTTTGGCAATCATTGGAAGAAATTTCAAAAATAACCACAACAATGTGATGCAGTGCAATTGTAAATTGTGAAATTGTAAAAAAATATACAAAAATGTAAATATTTATCTCATTATTCTTGTAGGCAAGCAGTGTATCGGTGTCTCTATATTACACAATGTGTAGTAATAAATCACTGAACTGTATATCAATGATGTCATTAATGACATGCGCAAATAACACTATTACATGCACACACCCTCAAGGGGGTCTTGAAATGTACTGAATGAAAAAAATCAGATATTCTCAGGGGTGGAGCTATATCACAGAACGTTCTATGTTGCTTAGACATACACGGTACCATGTATTTATATGGCTATACGTGAGTTGCTGTGGAACAACGGTTTAGGAGCCAGAGAAAACAACTAAAGTCAAGAAAACACTCCTGAGCAATCAACTTTATATATGTTACATGTGTAAGGGTAGTCTTGTTATACTGTTTAGGACAGTCCCAACAACTTGCTCAAATTATAGTTTTCTGAAAGTTTTCTACCGATGTTTTCATCGGTGATGGTTGCTAGGCGATGAAAATGCATGGTAGATGTAAAGATGTATGGTAGATATGCAAAGCCATTTGTGACTGATTATTTGATATTTCAGAGATTTAAAACCAACTTGGACGGATTATCAAGTATATGAATGACCACGTATCTGAATAATTAGATTCAATTCTTTTCTCTTTTTTTTTTGATTATTGACTGCTTATTAAACTTGGTGATCCTTGAATCTGCAGTTTTATGCACAAATGCCGAACCTACATTACAACAACCATAATTACGAATGAAACGTGCACATGAATATTATCTTCATCTTTGCATTCCAAGCTTTTCCCGCAACCAGAATGAGAACTTAAACTGTTAGTCATTAGCGTTAGTTAGATCTAATGATTGTAGATTATTACTAGTAAGTTCTAGTTGTAATAGATCACCTTTTTAAATTATTTATAATTAGAAAACTATGTTAGGTGAAAAAAAAAGCGGTTGCACTGCTCAGACGTGGAATGCGCTAGTGAAAAAAAGACCATGAACACGTCCCATTTTAGCTATGGTAGAAGGCATGGGGGTCTGGTATGTCTTCTCATAACTTCCTGGTCCTGGTACTTTCTACAGAATTAAAGGTGATAAAAAAACACAATTATGATGTGTACCTTCACACTACATGCATAATTATTAAATGTGTTTTTTTTTTCACAACCTTTCCCAAAAATATAGCCACACCACAATGGTACTGAGAATAGAACATAGTCAAAAATAATAACAATTGTAGTGCCTGCACATATTGTGTACTGTCATCGTTCTTAGGCAATGTAAAAATTTAACAAAAATACGAGGGAAAAGGAGCATTTTATTTTCACATGGCAAAGAAACTTCATTGCTCAACACTTGTAATCGATCCCAGGAAAACAGTCAACATGCATGTACCTAGAGACTGGCTAACTGCTATGAAGCCACAAAAAAACAAACTAATCAAATTTTGTCAAAGCTCTCCACATTATTCACCTGCGCCCCCCCCCTAATTGTAATGAATTACTCCCCCAGAAAGTGGAAAAACCTTATTGATCCTAAAATGAGCATTGAGATTTAACCATTGTGAATTTATCTGCAAAGTCCTGCAGTGTTATAAGTCCACAAAGCTTTTTCTTAGTTTGACCTTCAAAATGTGCTGATTATGAGTAATAACGATAATATATTCATCACAATGACAATAATAATGCGCCTTACTGTGTGGGAGGTTCTAAACCTTGGTGTACCAGACTTAAAGCTGGAAGACACGGCATGCAGTGGTCGTGGAGTCTTTGATTCATACTGTCCTGGACCTGGATTACTGTTCTGCAGGATAAAAAACATATGATTAGGTAAAAGACATGTTTCATTTTTTACTAATCTAATCAATCTTTTGCGCACAATAATAAAAGGGAAGAAAAAAATATTGTCCTTTGTGCTTATCTTCAGTGGATTATAATTCTATTATTATGATACTGATCAAGTAAATTATCAAAAAAAAAATGTCCTTCGCAGAATAATTGGATATAGAAATGACACCTAACTTCTCAAGCGAATCCAGTAATTAAAAAAAAAAAAAAAAAAAAATATGCAGCAGATTTGAATTTTTTTTGTTTTGTTTGAGTAGAGAGGATTTTTTTATTATTTTAATTATTTAGACATTCTTGATGAGGAAATGATGCATAACTTTATTTCATAAATATGATTATTAAGATTGGTTACCATGGTAACCACACTGGGAAGTAAGCATGTAGCCCAGTGCTGAATAATTCCATGGCAACACGTTGATGTATAACTGTTCCATTGTGACGCTACAACAAGGTAGAGAGAGAGAGAGAAAAAATATCCTATTCTTTTTTCTTTTTTTTTTAAATTGCATAGGTTGTGTATATTACTCACCGGTCTGAAGTAAATTGTTGGGAATCTCGATGACGTAGACTTAAACGAGCTGTGTCTGCAGAAATATAATACATGAAAAATCTGTTGATGATTTATTTTAGAGCTTCACTGTGAGTCAACTTACATGACATTTCAAAACGAACGTGTAACTCCTCAAATTGAATTCTTATAGAATGCATCAAAAATCTGTCTGATTAGTTTATAGCGTGTCGTACATGGCATAATACATTATTTCTACTGAAGATTGCCTTCCGGTGGATAGTTTATTTTCTCTTTTGTGTAATGAGTCCCCCAAAAATGATTTAAAATTGTCGATTTATAATAATATAGATATACATTTCAATTTTACATCGGTTATCATATTTTCATATATGGTGACTAAATAATAAAAAAATATACAAATATTATAATTTTCACAGTTTTTCTATGTTAGAGACGAACTTGAAAATGTCATGGATTTGTATACTTACTTAGACGGCATTTTGGGAGTTGCCAGGGATAGATGATTTTCGATGCCGTAAGTTGTTGGGCAAACGTTACACTCCTAGAACCAACAATAAAGACTATTCTATGACATTTAGTTGGAAAAATGCCACAGTGCAGGTGTTTTAAATCAGTATGATGGTTTTAGGACAACAGTCTACTGTGTTATTCAAAATAAAGACTTAGTTACTACGCTCTGTTTCATGAAGGCATGATTTTTTTTTTTTTATATTAAAACATCTATAATATTTCATAAATTTAAGATGACAACTTGACCAACCACAATGGATGGATGGTAGTAAATTGGTCAATGATTCCTGGGTAATCGGCATAACTAAATTTATTCTATAGCTAATGAAATGTATCTTCTTTGGATTTGAATGAAACATGAAGGTCTTCCAGGATAAATGTTTTATAAATATTTTATAACTTTTCATAGAGACCAGACCATTCATGGGTCAAAGGCCACACCAACTGTTATGTAATTCTAAATGGTAAAATTTAGCCTAGTCATTTCATTTGAAGTTAATAAGGTGTTTATAAACATTTCATATAAAAAACAAACACGGATTTCTGAAATGTAGTGTAGTTTGTTTTTGAATTCAGAAAACATTGACATTATTTTTGTTCTTTCATTGCACAGCTTTCAGTGAACGGTAGTTAAAATATCATGTTTAAATTTCTCTAGAAATTGGCATGCTTTAGCCTTTGAACTTCACCATTACATCGGGTTTGTGAATCATTAATGAAGATTTGTAATCTAATATGTTCAATGTTGAGCTTTTTCAGACAAAGATAAACATCTGGTGGGGAGTGGGTTTATAATTGCTCATCATATAATGCATTTGTTATTGCATTAATTTAAAACGCACAGAGTGAAGAGATTAACTTGACGTACCTTGTCCCTCTGACCAGGCAACTCAATTCTATACCGGTCGGTGTTTCGAAACGAATATGTATTTATGCTTTTATCCAAGTCCTTTACCATCTCACTATGTTCATATGCACCGGGCATCAGCATGTCTCCTCGGCGCCATTTTATGATTGCCAAATCACGTTTCCTTCCTTCGCTCTTGAAGGAATAAGTCATCGGTTTTCTTTCGAGGAATTCTTCCAAGAAATCTTTATTATCGTAAGTGCCGGGTACCGGTGTTTCCTGTTTAGTTTGAAATAAAGATTGGGTATCAAAATCTGTATGTTTATTATAGACTATTTTATATATTTTTAAAGAAAATCAATATTTAATCAGTAGAGTGACTGGCTGGCTCGACGTACCCTAATGTTCTTACGCCACCATAACTCTCTTCCAGACACTGGTTCCTCATAGGTATCTTTCAGTGACGTTCGCTCCTATTTTTTAAGGAGAGAAACAAAAATGTTACGTGATACTGTTCGAAAAGTACAACCTGGCTAGACCTATTCACTGCACTGTGTACGTCGTTCTGCGAGAGGCTCTGTGTAAAAGACAATAAGTTTGTTAATAAATGGTTCATTCACTGACAACATAATTTGCGTGAATTGATATGACAGTTTATCTGAGCGACAGGGCAGTATGCAGTGCACGCACTGTGTTCGCGTTTATGCTATACGCAAATAACTTCATTAATTTAACAATAATAAACGTATCCGAGAACAGCAGACCGTGAACGGGGCAGGCACAAAGGCGTCATTAGCGAGCAATAAGAACACATTACCGCCACCGCCACCAACCTTTCGTGAATTCGGTCTGTTCATGACACTCCTTCTCTCTTGCTTCGGAGTCTTCCTGCCCCCCTTCGCTGATACATTCTGGTTGTTTTTCTCGGAGCCCCTTCCGACGCCTTGTTTCGATGTATATGTAGCTTCGGGCGCCATGTTCGTACTATATCCACTCGGCGTCCTATTCGTACTTCAGGCTACCTTGGTTACCACAATTTGCATATGTATACAGCGACTTCTCGAGTGTAAATCTCTATTCGAAAATCAATACTCTTTGATATCGGTGCCAGGTAAACTATTCAATGTCATCCGTCATTTGTTCGTTGGAACTTGGTTGGCTGGTCGTTTGAACAACGGAAAAAAAATACGAACTGTTTGACTACAGCGCTTGGTGGGGTCGAAAGTTCACCGCTCACACGCCGTTATACATTTTAATTAATTTGTTCCGTTGTTTGTTCTTTTTGGCCGACGTGATAATCGAATTTCGAAGCACATCATAGATCATTTACAAATCATGGTTCAAGCCTCAAAGGAGAGGTAACATATGACCTGAGAGTTATTGCTTACGTGTAATAATCCAAGCATGGTATACTAAGTAAACTCATAAACAGCGAATAAGATGTCAAAAAAAAAATATTTTCTTTGTTCTTCTTTACTTTATCAGATCCAGTCTACGTATAATTTTTTCCTTTGCGGTCGCTAGAAATATTGTCAGCAAGACAACTCATGCGCAGATAGCAATAATTATTTGACACAAATGAAGGTAGTATAGTATAGTATAGTATAGTATATTTTATTTAACACTAAATAATATATTTTGTTACATTATCTGTGGTCAATGACATTAAATATAATAAAACACAAGTACACACACGAGACAAAAGAAAATACATAAATAACTAAAGTCTAAGTAAAATTACTTATAGTAAAATAATATGCTGTCAATACATTTGCTAGCACTATTGGCAATGAACCCATCTCTCGAACTTAAAATTTCTGTAAACATTTGTTGTTTTGATAGTTTAATGATACTTTCATTATAAATGCTAACTACATTCAGAAATTCAGTACGAGCATTTGTTATTCCAGTGTGGTTACAGTCTAAAAGTGCATGGGTTTCATTGCCAATAGCCCCATTGTTACAAAGTTGGCACTTTCTTTCCTCTGGAGGTATCCCTTGATATCTAAGTTTTTCAATTGGTAGGGTATGTGCAGATATCCTAAATTTGGTGAAGCTGGTTCTATGTTGTGCATTTTTTACTTGATTCAAATATGGTTCAAATTTATATGTAGGTTTGAACTGAGTGTATGTACGTAATTTATTGTGTTGGGTTGTCTGAACTGTTGGTAGCCAAACTTTTTCAACATAGATTTCTTTTATTTTGACTTAAGCAGAGTAATGTTATCAGCATCACCAGTTTTAGTTATCTCCTGTAATTTATTTACAAATGTTGCCCATGTATTAATTTTGATTTTGGTTTCTGAGATGTAAGCACAATGTACTAAGTGACTGCAATTGCTGGTGTTGTTTTCAATTCTTTTCTTGTATTTAAATAATTGTGCACATATTTCAGTAATGTATGTCTATTATCTAGAAGTCTGTGCAAGTATTTGATGCAGCTTTGAACCCCAACACGCGTCAGCCTAATATAGTTTTTCAAAATATCTGACATATAACGAAACCACGTGTGTAATATACATAAATAAGCATATGTTAATTTATCCTCAGACTGACGTCCATTAAAATGCAGTGACATTTCAGACTTTTACGAGTAACTATGTTTAGTGATAGCAAACAAGCATCGTATTTGTCTTGGAGTTATGACAAATAACCCGCCCCATTCAGTTATTATAAAACACATTGAACGCATAATTACATGAATACATTAACCAACAACCAATGTATTTTTTTTAAAATACTGCTCAACAAGAACAACCTCCGAATACACAATATATAATTTATTCGAACGTATATAACCGTTAACATCTCGGGATAAATCCTTGTCACTGGAAACAATCACAAAATAACCTAAAATGGATGACTATTAATGCGCTTGGGTTTCTTTTCACCAGTAACTTATGCCTTCATTTACGCTGAAATGACAGAGTGATTGTTCAATGAGTCACTCCCCTATCAACTTGGTCAATAAACCACAAGAGATTCCGTTATGACAACAACAAATTCAATTTACTCCCACCCACATTATTATTACTAGCATAACAAATATTTTATACAATATACATTACAGGTTCAATATTAGGATTAATAATGTTAAATATTATGATAAATGAATTCCAGTGCCAGACAATATACTGTAACACTATTATATGCCAATATAGTCCTAACGCACAAATTTAGTAGCACCTAATTTAGATAATACTAATCTGCTATATTCCTTTTTTTTTTTTTTGCAAAATATTACGTTTTCCTCATTTGTATAATGACATGCAAGCCACTGAACATCATGCAACTGCAATGAGTTATGGGAGATTATCTCCTATTGTATACAATTGACTTGTTACACTGGAGAATCACTGAATCAAATGTGATTATGAAATCTTTCAAAAATTTTTGAATTGACGTACATTTGGTGGAAACCAACATCACCAAGCAAAATTTAACCATAGAAACAAGAACAAAAATCCAAATTTTGACACGTCCACATTTGGACTTGCTTTTTGAAATATTTTGTGACCCTAATCCTCATTTCAGTCATCGTACTGGCATTTCCCCCAAAACAAAAACTGACAATAATCCTAACCTTATTATGGTCAAAGAATTCTTTCAAAATCAATGAAGCAACATTTTCACATTAGGGTTGGGAGCATAGTGCAAAATAAGGGTTTTGCAGGAGTAGGTTAGCACAATTTTAGAGGTATTTGGATACACATTTGAAAAAGTACACTAGGTTGCAATTGCAGAGACACTATTTAAGGCCCCCCCCCCCCCCAAGAGATAATTATGCAGGTAGAACAGATGGATCGTAAACTTTAATTTTGGCAGTGATCAATAGCATCCATCAAACAGGATATTGATCTTGACGAACATTAATGCTTTTTAATAGTTCATATACAAGTTGAATTCACCTTTGGATGTCTGGCCCAATGCATCTGAACAGAATTTGCATGAAATAATTTTGGGTGGATAATTGCAACTCAGATTTGTTATGCAGTGCATATAAATGCTGTTTTTGATCAACATTTTTAAAATAAATATTGGGGGGATATTTTCACTAGATTTTATTTTCACGAACACTAAATTAGTGAAAAACAAATTCCATGTGAAAATAATGAATTCCGCAGTAATACAAAACTCTCATTCTATCACTTGCATCGTTTAATACACACCAAATAATCACAAACATTTAAATAATAAAAAGATTTTTTTTTTTTTTATTTATTTACAGCATGAACTGTTAACAAAAAAGTAAACAAAAATTGACTAAATCGCAACCCATCTGTCCTGTGTCTCGGCAATTTTTTCCTTCTCAAAGACCATCTTATCTCTAGCCTACCTCAAACCCCCGCCCCCAAAGGTTGATGATTTAGTGCCACGGGATGGCCCATCATTGCAGCAAAAATTCATAGAAAATGGCAGTTCAAAATGTTCATCTCATTTTGCAGGATCCCAACAGTTTTGACAATTGCTATATCAAATAGAATAGTCGAGAAGAGAAGTGGAGAAGAACAGCAATGAAATGACTGTTTCGAATAGCGATGAGATTCAATTTAGCTACTCAACAGAGTTGGAATTACTTCAATCAATATTTAAATATGTATGGTACAAAAAAAAAATTTACAACAAACTAACCTAAAGACTACTCCATATTTGTTTCTAACTAATTTGCATGGCTATTTGTTAAAAAGGCATAATTTTGTAGACGAGGAAATGAATAAAAAGTTGTAGAATCCAATTTGAGATAGGAAAAGAATCAGGATGGTACAGTACTGCTGGCTGGTTCGAGTACAATTTACTTGGATGTCATCATCGTCACAAATTCTGCAAAAATAAAATAGTAAATTAAGTTAAATTTATGAAACAGAAATTCACAATACTTTCTCACTCAAACGAGGCACGACTTAAAATAATTCACTAATGTAGAATACTTTATTTTTGCTGGAATTAATTTTCGCTGAAAAGACATTTTGGGTATTTTGTATGAAATTTATTTTCACTGATTTTTGACAAGCTGAATGTAAAATATAGGAAAAAGGTATATTCGCTGGATTTTATTTTTACTGACTCATTCCTTCAGCAAAAATAAATTCCAAGTGAAAGTAAAGTATTTTACAGTATCTAGAAAACTCTGAAATCTGACAGCAATTAGCAAAATTTAGCTCTTTTGCATTTAATTTTTAAAGGGCATGCACATTACAAATCTTGCACAAACTAACCTTCATAATTAACTTGACCATCACCATCAATATCAGCCTCGCGGATCATTTCATCTACCTCTTCATCTGTTAATTTTTCTCCAAGATTTGTCATAACGTGACGAAGTTCAGCTGCACTGATAAAACCATTGCCATCTTTGTCAAACACACGGAAAGCCTCACGAATTTCTTCTTCACTGTCTGTGTCCTTCATTTTTCTGGGCCATCATTGTAAGGAATTCTGGGAAGTCAATAGTGCCATTGCCTGGGGAACAATGCAACAGATAGCATGTTTAGAGAATCTAATACAAAAGCAAAGCAACTAAATTTTAAATTGCAAAAATACTATTCTTGAATGAAACCTCACCATCAGCATCTACTTCATTAATCATGTCCTGAAGTTCAGCTTCTGTGGGGTTTTGGCCTAGCGACCTCATGACTGTTCCCAACTCTTTCGTTGTAATGGTACCATCACCATCTTTGTCAAAAAGGGAGAATGCTTCCTTGAATTCTGCAAGAAATCACGAAGAGATCATATGTCAGTGAATGCAGCCAAATTCCTACACTCTGCAAAGACAGCCAGCACTCTGCTATGCAAGGAATGTTTGAAGGGGTTGAAATATTACAACGACCGCATTCATACTCTTAATCATTAACTTTTGTCAGTGAGCTGGGGGATCTTCTATTCTACTAATTATAGATACTGAAATATCCACTAAATGTTTCAAAGCACTAATACAAAGCAATCATATGTGGAAGTGGACAAGTGAAAATAATGTAAATGACCTTGGTAGACACAAACATGTCAACCATCCAGTATGCTATGAATGTATGTCTGGAATGTCAGCAACAGCAGCAGGGTTGGTATAAACCACATGTCAAATGCAATTCATTGAAAGAATTGTTAAAAAAAATTAAAATCATGCATTTGTATTGTTAATAGATAACTTACCAGCAATTTGTTCTTCTGTCAATTGATCAGCCTATAGAATTGAAGAGAAAAATTATAATAGCAACAAGGATGCATTTATTTGCATTTAACAAATGGGGCATTCTAATTGATAGTGCCAATAACAGGGTAGATGTCACACCCTATTATCACACATAGGGTTCACTATCTGTTCGTATTAATAGTAAAGACCGTTATCTGTCACGGATGCTTGTGACCCACATGACCATATTTGTCAGAAATAAAAAAAGACTCGCATGCAAAGAATTTTAACTGCATGCTACGATTACTATAGTCTGGTTTACGAACTCTCCAGTTAGTATGGGATTTAAATGCTTGTCTTTACAGTATGTATGAATACAGATAGTGGGCTTTTGTTTCACATTAAATCCTTGAAAGACGATTCAATTCGATGTTGACAAAGGCACTAGGGAAACGTTTAAAATGCAACACATGCAACAAATAGGTTATTTTCAACATCACATTTATATGACGCCCACATCATTTTCCTCCCCAGAGTAGCATTTTATCATTGTAGTATTCATTCAAGACTAAAGTACCAGGGTAAAGGAATCACGCTTTCGCTGGGTATTTGTGTAGTCATAGGAATTCCTTTTTGTCCCTCTCGGCACAACTCCTTTTTGGGTGGTGGCCCAAAAAGATTGCCAAAGGAAGACATTTTTGATTAGTTACAATGGCGGGAATGTCATTATTTCGTGGAAGATACAACACTAACAAAATTAACAGACAATGTGGGACAAGTGAATATTATTAATTGTTTTTTTTTAAACAGAAAACCGCCGTACATTAAAAATCAAATCGTAGAACCACGTTTGCTGTTGTATGGTCTCTCCACACATAAGAGTGCCGGACGTCAGCGCATATCAGGGCGACTATCGCCTGGTAATCATAATCCCACGCGACATTCAGTGGTTGTAAATAAAGAAATAACACAATAATATAATTCCACTTCGAATAGTTTAGATTTTCCCCCAAACAGAAAACGTTTCATACTCACCATTGTTATTTTCTGTATAAAACTAGAGACACAATACAACAGACTCTCACACTACAACCAGCGCAGCAAATAATCAATGTGTGGGATGGAGCTTGCGTAAAGTCTGATCACTCTAGGATATGTGTATCCTTACGCAGTAATCATTAACGAACAGTGATGCGAAATAAAAAGTGATAATTTGATTGGTTGAATGACTCTAGTGTTTGCGTAAAATGAACAAATACCAGTCAATTCAATAGAAACTGCAATGTTGCTGATGCTATTGTAAAATGAGCACATTTACTGTACGCACTACTTTAAAATAGTAAATTAGTGGGAAGTGATGCGGTGTTAATCATGTCAACCAATCACTCCCGTTGGGTGCAACATAAGCTAAGCTGCGATTGGTGGTTTGCCTGGAAAACCTATGATGCCATTGTAAACTCAAACGTGATTCGTAATATTGCACCTGCATTGCGTCAAACCCAGAAAACCGCATAGGTATCCCAGAAAGCCACAGTCTAGCCAATAATGGTGTGAAACTGAGTATTTGTTGTTCGTTTATCTTTGTTATTAAAACGTAACGATGGTTTGTTGATAGTTATCAGAAACCGTTCGTTCCGTGGTTCAATGAGTGTTGCGTGAGTATTTTTTTTTATGTTGAAGGTAACCGTTGTGTGAATCACGCCAGAACATGAGCGTCCTCCAGGGCCTGTGTGTCGATCCAGGGACCGTCAATAGGAAACCATTAGAATTAGTGATGTCGATGGTGATATGTACTATATATGTACTATAATTACAACTAGGGTAATAAATCTCTTTCAAACAAGATTTACTACGGACATTACACTTGGATCGGTATGAGGATGACAGTCCTTAAAAACCACGTGCAGATCGAAAAGGAACATTTACGATGTGAGAGAATAGCTAGTTTTTTGTTTATTTGTGTGTTTTTTTGGAAACAAAAATAAAGTCGTAAAGATTATTATTCGGCGAATACAAAATATACGAAATATATGTGATCGAGACAATAAGGCATAAACAACTTGAGAGACTGAGAGACACAGTATGATGCATGGACATGAAAAAACAGGTAGGGCAAGTGGGTGGTGTCTGTGACGAAATATGGAAAAGTGATATTGGTTCGGTTGAATATGAATTAATTTAATCCCCAATTTGCAAACTTTATCAAGCCGCACTTCAAAGTTATTTCAAACATTGTTCAAACATGTTTTAACCAATGGTATCTCAAATTGGTAGTGTGAAACTTGAATCTGTCTGAAAGAGGAACTAACCAGTGGTATTACACTAAGGGATTGATCATGATTAGAGACCGGAAGAAATGACACCGGGCACATGTAGGGTACTAGTATTTGACAGAAAATTAACAAGCCATTGATTGAGACAATAAAATCACATATTTTGATAACACAAAACACATTTACTATCGTTCCAGTCAGTCTTTAAACAGTAATTTTGTTAATACAAATAGTTCTACACTGCAGTAATTCATTATCAACATTGCTAGTAAATGTACAGCCGTTGCTTTGAATGTTATCAGAAGGGTTGTTTTGATACATTCGCGACATACCCAGGCTGGGATCATAATGAAATGAAGAATGACTACGGTAAGTAAGAGAGAAAAAAAACTGAAAACCGACAACAATTTAAAAAAAAATAGGCGGTCGCCGTGAGCATGTGCCCGAATTTTATGTAAATATTGAATTTTACCCGCGTTGTATACGTCGCTTGTGGCCCATATCGTATGTGTCGACGACCAATGCCCTCACAACAACAAATGTATCTGTAAAGTATAAAACCACAGTCAGAACGACTATCAGATATAGGGACTGTGATAAAACTATAAAGTCGAACAACACAGAACATCCCGGAGAAGGAAAGAGTATATGAACTATATACATGGAAGGTGAACAGCGCTTCGCAGAAGTATGCCCTCTATATGTATAATATAAAAACGAATCAACCGAATAATGCATATGAAAATTGATATACATCTCTGCTCATTTCTCTAGCTACATTTGTGTTAATAAAACAAAAAGGAAGAAGAACCAGCAAAAACATCGTGTCATTTGAGTTTCTCATATCATCTCAATTTTTTCCACAATGGCTTTATGTCCTTCGTTCAGTTTGATATATTTTATTACTATACATCTGTCACCGTAACGCCATAAGTTACAGCGTGCCGTAATTTTGTGGGTATTTTCATCCTACCACATTAGGAAACGCGAATTCCAAATATGGAACGATTACGCGCGTAAGCGTCCTCTAATTAAAAAAACAAACAAACATGGCTGGCCAACTGACGGGACCGCACACAAATAAGTTCACTAAATCTATTCTAAACCTTTTGGATTCCGGCTTTCCAATGATGTATTCCTGGAAAGAAAAGATGTCTGATAATATGA